TTTGCTCCACGTGGGTTGGGACCAATTGATGCATCTCAGATGGCTGCTCACTAGCTTTCAAGACCCCAGACACCACTCACCAAAGTGGGATGCAGAACATTTTCTTAAAAAACTTAGCTACACCAATTGACCTAGATGCCCCCTGAAACCATGGTCCCAAGACCCCCATCCCTGCTATACTGTCCCTCGAGGTGTTTGGTTGTCTTCAGGAAACTAATTAGGTTTTGCTTTAGTCCAGTTATACTGACTTCCCCTGTATTGTGTGTTGTCCTTCCCTTCAACTAATTCTTTTCTCTTATCTAGTTAGTGAATTCCCCTCTCCCTCCCTCCTCACCCTCGTAACCATTAAAGAATGTTTTCTTCTGTGTTTAAACCTTTTCTTGAGTTCTCGTAATAGTGGTCTCATATAATATTTGTCCTGTTGCGACTGACTAATTTCACTCAGCATAATGCCCTCCAGATTCACCCATGTTATGAGATGTTTCAGATTCATCGTTATCGTTGTGTAGTACTCCATTGTGTGAACATACCATAATTTGTTTATCCATTCATCTGCTGATGGGCACCTAGGCTGTTTCCATCTTTTTGCGATTGTGAACAGTGCTGCAATGAACATGGCTGTGCATATATCTATTCGTGTGACGGCTCTTATTTCTCTAGGATACATTCCAAGGAGTCGGACTGCTGGATCATATGGTACTTCTATTTCTAGCTTTTCAAGGAAGTGCCAAATTTATTTCCAAAGTGGCTGTACCATTTTACATTCTCACCAGCAGTGTATAAGCGTTCCAGTCTCTCCACAACCTCTCCAACATTTATTGTTTTGTGTTTTTTGGATTAGTGCTAGCCTTGTTGGGGCGAGATGGTATCTCTTGGTAGTTTTGATTTGCATTCCTCTAATGGCTAATGATCTCAGCATTTCCTCATGTATCTGGTAGCCACCTGAATGTCTTCTTTGGTGAAGTGCCTGTTCATATCCTTTGCCCATTTTTTAATTGGGTTATTTGTCTTTTTGTGGTTGAAATTTTGAAATTTTGTAGATTTTAGAGATTAGACCCTGATCGGATATGTTTTGGCCAATTTTTTTTCCCCGTCTGCAGGTTGTCTTTTTACTCTTTTGGTGAAGTCTTTTGATGAGCATAAGTGTTTGATTTTTAGGAGCTCCCAGTTATCTAGTTTCTCTTGTGGTGTTTGTGCATTGTTAGTTATGTTTTGTATTCTGTTTAAGCCATGTATTAGGGCTTTCAGCGTTGTCCCTATTTTTTATTCCATGATCTTTATCGTTTTCGATTTTATATGTAGGACTTTGATCCATTTTGAGTTAGTTTTTGTGAATGGTGTGAGATATGGGTCTTGTTTCATTTTTTTGCAGATGGATATCCAGTTTCGCCAGCACCATTTGTTAAAGAGACTGTCTTTTCTCCAATTAACGGACTGTGGGCCTTTGTCAAATATCAGCTGCTCATAGGTAGATGAATTTACATCTGATTCTCAATTCTGTTCTACTGGTCTAGGTATCTGTTGTTGTACCAGTACCAGGCTATTTTGACTACCATGGTGGTATAACAGGTTCTAAAGTCAGGTAGGGTGAGGCCCCTCACGTTGCTGTTCTTCAGTAATGCTTTACTTATCCAGGGTCTCTTCCCTTTCCATATGAAGTTGGTGACTTGTTTCTCCAACTCATTAAAAAATTGCAGTTTGAGTCTTACCAAGTGTTTTAGTTATCTAGTGCTTATAACAGAAATACCACAAGTGGATGGTTTTAGCAACAGAAATTTATTCTCTCACAGGTTAAGAGGCTAGAAGTCTGAATTCAGGTGCTGGCTCTCTCTCTGTCGGCTCTAGAGGAAGAGCCTAGTCTCTCTGAGCTTCTGCTCCTGGGTAATCTTCATGTGGCTTGGCATCTCTCTTCCCCATCTCTGCTTCCTAGCTTGCTTGTTTAATATCTTTCATATCTCAAAAGAAACTGACTCAAGATACACCCTACCCTAATCCTGCCTCATTAACATAATAAAGACAATCCATTCACAAAAGGATTACAACCACAGGCATGGACGCTAGGATTTACAACATATATTTTTGGGGAACACAATTCAATCCATAACACCAAGTTAACTGTCTTCAAATACAAAACCAACAACACACTTCACAGGAATATAATAGAATTCAGAATCTACACAATGCCTGAGATACAATCTAAAATTACTCAGTACACCAAGAAACAGGAAAATACCCATTCTTAAGGGAAAAGATAATCAATAGAGGCCAACCTGAACATAATCCAGATACTGGAATTATCATGTAATGATTTAAAGCAGCAGTGTTGGCACAGTGGTTAAGAGCTCGTCTGCTAATCAAAAGGCCAGCAGTTCAGAGTGAAATAAGTCAATCGCAAAAGGACAAATATTGTATGAAATCACTACTGTAAAAACTCATGAAAAGGTTTACACACAAAAAGAAACAACCTTTGATGGTTACGAGGGATGAGGGGGATACTAAATAGACAACAGATAAGTGGTAACTTTGGTGAAGGGTAAGACAGTACACATTACTGGGGAACCCAGTACAACTTTTACAAGGCAAGGTTATGGAAGCCCCATAGACACATCCAAACTTTCTGAGGGACTGAATTGCTGGGTAGAGGGCTGTGGGGACCATAGTCTCGAGGAACATCTAGCTCAACTGGCCTAACACAGTTTATAAAGAAAATGTTCTACATTCTACCTTGCTGAGTAGCATCTGGGGTCTTAAAAGCCTGTGAACAGCCATTTAAGGTATTCCACTGGTCTCACCCCTTTAGGAGCAAGGGAGAATGAAGAAAACAAGATACAAGGGAAAGATTAGTCCAAAGGACTAATGGACCACATCTACCCCAGCCTCCACCAGACTGAGTCCAGTACAACTAGATGGTGCCCAGCTACCACACTGACTGCTCTGACAGGGATTACAACAGAGGGTCCTGGACAGAACTGGAGAAAAATGTAGATCAAAATTCTAACTCACAAAAAAAGACCAGAGTTACTGGCCTGACAGAGACTGGAGAAATCCCAAGAGTTTGGCCCCCTGACACCTTTAGCTCAGTAATGAAGTCACTCCCAAGGTTCACCCTTCAGCCAAAGATTAGACAGCCCCATAAAACAAAAAAGACTAATAGGGCACAACAGCCCAGGGATAAGGACTAGAAGGCAGGAGGGGACAGGAAAGCTGGTAATAGGGAACCCAAGGTCGAGAAAGGAGAGTGTTGACACATAAAACAATATGTGTACTGTTTAATGAGAAACTATTTGTTTTGTAAACATTCATCTAAACTACAATAAATAAAATAAATAAATAAATAAATAAAATTTTTTAAAAAAAGGTCAGCAGTTCGAATCTACCAGTCCTCCTTGGAAACCCTATACGGCCATCCTACTCTGTCCTTATAGGGTCACTATGAGTTGGAATTGACTCAGTGGCAATGGGTTTGGGTTTTCTTGGTATTATCATACTATGCTTAAAGAGGTTTAAAAAATATTTATGTTAAACAAAAAGACAAAACATCTCAATGGAGAAATCAAAACTGTAAGAAAAAAAAAAAAAGAACCAAATGGAAATTCTAGAACTGAAAAAATAACTAAAATGAAGCACTTACTGGGAGGATTTAATAGCAGAATGGAGATGGAAGAGGGAAAAGTAAATAAACTTGAAGACAGATCAATAGAAAACTGTCCAATCAAAAGAAGAAGAAGAAGGAAAAAAGGAAACAAAATGAAAAGAGACTCAAGGATCTGCAGGAAAACATTGAAAGGCCTAAAAATCAGGGGTTTCAGGCAATTCTTAAACAACATGTAAATATTTCCTAATTTTATGGAAGAATAACAAATTTATAACTAAAAGAACAATATTATATTAGTAGTGGAAAGAGCAATGGCCTAGGAATTGGGAATCTGAGTTCTAGTCTTAGCTATTCACCTAACTAAGTGTTTTACCTTAAGAATGTCAGCTAATCCTTTTGGCGACTCAGTGTCCTTGTCCGTATACTGACGGTTTTGGTTAGATTGGTGGTTTTGAAATTCAGCTGATTCTCATAAAGTCCTAAAGAGATTTTTTAGAAATACAGGGTTCACCTCTAGAGTTCATGTTCAGAAGGTTTTGTCTGAGATGAAATCCAGATTATCTGTAGATTTTTTTTCAAGCTCCTTAGGTGATGTCTGATGATTAGTCAAGTTTGAGAAGCACTACACTAGATGGTATTTTTGAGAGACAAGCAGAGCATATGACAGAGATTCCTGGTACTGCTAACTAACTTGTGAATTCTTTAAAAGAAAAGATTCTCTATACAGATATAGAGAGATGATTTCCCTCAAAATCTTGCAATAAAGTCCCTAGAGACAAGGGCTGAAGTTTACTAATCCTTACTTGTATCATAGCTAAGTATTGTCAGATGAATGTTAAATTACAAACATTCCATTTAGGGGCAAAAACAGCTTTCTGTAATGTGAACAATTACCCCTAATCATTCCATTTGGAAATTTGTGTTTTGCTGTTTTCTAATATGTGTCATATAGGATCACTCTGAGTCACAATCGACTCAATGGCACACAGCAATAACAACGTGTCATGTTTTTCTTATGACAGGGCATACTGTTGCTCCTCTTTTACTCTATTCCTATATGTTCCACATACTGGCTGCCTTTCAAATATAAATATACTCTTTACAAACCTGATGGAAGGATCATCATCTTACGATCCTGTTCCCAGGGAGGTGACAGGGAACCAGTGTCAGAAGGTGCTCTATGAGGACCAAATAACCTGTCATAGCTTGATTCTCCTCTTTCATTGGTAATCTGATGGTCCAGGAGATTCCCTGGTCCTCTTGAGTCTAATGACATGAAAAAAATACAATTCTGTTTTATCTAGAAAACTATTATGGATCTATAAACAAAATCCAGGTACTTTTTAAAAAAGTAAAAACAAAGTTGTCCCTAAAATACATTAGACTATATCTCTATCCCACAAAGCTATTTCTAGGACAAGGGAAAAATAATTTTGCCAAGTGCATAAACAAACATATGTCTAAAAATTTCATTTTTAAATGTTACCATAATCATCAATTACTTGTTAAAAAAAAAAAAAAAAAAAACAAGCAACTAAGTTTAAACATAAAACCAGTGTAAACTATAAATACTGTCGGAAAAATAAGGGAAGAAAGTAAATTGCAATGTAAAGATTTCTACGCCAGATATAATAATTATAAAATGAGGTATTTGCTGCTTAAACTAATACTCCAATACTCTATATCAAAATGAGAATGATTCCTTTAAAACAATCATCTTAGGAGCTATAACCTATTTCAATAATTCTGCTACTACTATTTTTAAAAACAATTCCTTTGGAAATATCCTCAGATTAGCTTAAAAGCCACACAATAACCTGAGTCTCAACGCTGTAACATAACTCTCTACTTCTGTCCAAAATAATTTTAACCAATGTGATCATAAACTTTATACCCACCAGATAAATGTGGCTCTATAAGGCTTTTAGCAGTTTCTAAATATCAAATTTACCTCAAAAAGAGAGCCCAGAAGCTCTGAAGGCAAGTCTAAAATAAGAGTTTCAAAAACAATAACAGCATTGTTGGAATAAACACTTTAAACAAGATAACACTCATTTGGCATCCTCGCATTATAAAGGGAGTGAATCATTTTGAAATTCTCTTTTATGACCACAGAAAGGATACTAACTTGATTTAAAACCCATATTCATTAAAAAGGAAAAGAAAAATATAAAAATTATTTGAAACATTCAATAAAAAAATATACTAATACCTCATTTATCTGTCATTGAGGGGAGAATGAGGTCTTCTTAAAATTATATTGTCCAGAAAACAAAAGCTTATTCCTTTCAAGGAATAGCTTAAAAAAATTTTTTTCAATAGAAGTCTTTCTAAAATGCTTCCCACATTTCAGTACCTCCTTTAAGAGAGGAGACCAAAATTAATTTGACCTTTCTAAGTAACTTGTGCAAATCAGTATAAACATTCATTTTTAAATATATAGTCATCATTTTAAAAATTTTCCATCTACTCCCTTTGGTAGAGTCAGGCGGTCAACTGACTTTTATGCCAGGAGGTCAACTACCACTTTTCCTTAGAGTTGTACATTCTGTTAAATTCCCCAAATCCTTCCTTCCAGCTTGTTCATCCCTCTACTAATCAGTTCATTAGAAACAGAAGGCTGGGAAAGCAAAAAATGAAATTAAGAAATGTGCAAGAGCAGTAAGGCTGGGTTCATCTGGAGTGAAACACAGAGCTTCAAAGGAGACATTCAAAGGCTTTCTCCTGACTGCTTACATCCAGAGGACCAAAGCTACACACAGGCTGACTGCCAGATGAAAATCACAAACCTGAAAATGCTAAATGTTAAATCAGACCAAAAAGTTACACTCAATTTACTCTAAAAAAATTTTCCATATAGTTAATCTTATTCAAACATATATGTGGGTCAAACTTGAAAATTTAAAAAGATAATAAAAGGAAGGAAAAGAAAGAGCACTCTTCACCCTTCTTTGGCTGATCATAAAAACTTTTAGTTCAAAGCAATTCTTTAACACCTGCTGATAACTTACCTTGAACTTCTGTAGCATCTCTAAAAAATACTAAAACACCCTTGCAAATAATCTGAACACATTGTATCTTGAAAGTAAGTAAAAGAGGAAAGTAATTTAAATAGGAGAGGAGAAATTAAAGGTAATTTTTACTCTTATTCCAAATATTAAAATGACTACAAGCAATCCTTGACCTATGTAACTCAACTTCCAGTGATTCACATTTGCGGGTTAGCCAATTATACCCGTATTTCTGGGGCACTGTTTTCCAGACTGCTAGCAGTGCATTTGTGGTGTATGAAATTAACTTAGTCTCAATCAGCAATCTTTTTTAATGAAATGGAGTAGAACTGAACAGAAAATATCAGAAAGCATCAAATGCTGGTGTACAATATGACACAATATATATTTCTTACTGTAGTTCAAGATGAAAAATTTGTGAGGGAAAAAATGGACTTCAGGAACTTACAGCAGACATGGGAATTTTAAAATCAGTCTGCTTCCTAAGGTGCTCACTGCAAAGCTCCCTGACGGATCCAAGTATCAATCTGTATCAGCCCCTTTCCCTAGGAGCTCTGGGTTCAACGCCAATATGAGCAAAAAGTCCTCTCTGAGGTGTCATCACAATGTGGGCCCAATACGCAGGGGGACTGGGAGGCAGGAAGGAACAGTTCTAAGTGGAACAAACTGAGGATGGGAAAAGAGGACATAAACGGGCAATGGACAAGGGGAGAACAACCCCTGACCAAAAAATAGGAAACTGATTTTCTTACATTCTTTGAAAACAATTCCAAAGGAAGAGTTCCAAAAACGTTTAGAATAATGGCAGCTTCAACAGACTCCCTAAGAGACTATTTTGATGAGTAGTATCCATGTATGCTGGGTTTAATTTGGTGATTTTATTTAGTCTCATTACTTTCTGTTCCTACCTCTGAATCAATCTCTTAAAATCACTGGCAAAAAACGAGGGTGTGGACACTTCACTAGTGAAAAATGCTAACAGCTCTTATAAAACACAAGATTGGGACTGAAAAACTAAGACTTGTGATTTTGATGATTCTGGAATAAGGGCTCTGTATCTTTGAATTTTACCACTTTTCAAGGTAAAACTTAAAGCAACTTGACAGTAAAGTATGATAAAGGATCCAAAGAGAAAAACTATAAGGCACATAGAAGTTTTCAAAAGTAACCCTTTTTTAACAGTAGGTTAAGCGCTGATGAAATTAATGCAGAAAGATCATCAGCTAACGCTTAGGCTGGCAGCAGCTACAGAAATTCTTAAAAACATGGAAGGGGGCAACAAAGCAGATAACCTTGGGTCAGTTTCTCAAAAGTATCAGCAAATTATTTAAGTTTCCTTAAAAGATGCCAAGACCCCTTCTAAATTCCTTGACTCTAAAAAAGATTCTTTCACTTTCTGATTTTCTACAATAAAAAGATCATAATAATCAAATCAAAGAAGATTTTAAAGTATATTATAACAGTGTTTCATCATAATATAATTTTATACTAGGTTACAGTGTTACTAGTTTTATGTAGTCTTTATAAAGTTTATATAATAGTTTTTTAAGTCAAAAATATGGTTTGAAAAGATATACATCAAGCCCTTGATCAAAATGTAATCTATTATAACACAATTTCAAAGACAAAAGTATATTAAAATGAGATGTCATAGAGCTCCTTTTCCAAAAACGTAACCTATAATAAGTGCAAGGAATGCCTGTATTTTCCAAAGGTGTATTTCACAGATCATTGTAAAAATAAGTTGAGATGAAAATATAAAGTAAGGAAGAAATCTAGAGTAATAAAGATGCTTAAACAATATACCTCTTCCTCCTCCCCCTGGAAGCAAAGGTGAAAGTCTGAGTGGACCCTCCAACAAAGTTGGAGGGGAGAGAAAAGCTCTCGTTTCAGGTGAAGGTCGACCCAATGGTGAGGGACCATACGGGGAATGCTCTGAAATAATTAAAACAGCATATTTAAATTCATAGTTTCAGTTAGCTACACTGTAGAGTTAGAATCCCATTTCAACAATTACCATCAGGTCATCCTATGGCCTATTTAAGTTTAACCCATGCCTTGAACACTAACTATGCCTTGCATTTGCTAATATGTGCTAGAACTAAATATGGAATCCTATGTTTTTAAAATCTGTCTACCAAATGAACACTTTAGTCAGTAAAACAGATCCTCTTGGTAATTAATACACTCAAATAACCACACAATATTAAGTAGTAGGATATGGTGATATTTTGGCATTATAAAAGATCTGGGGGAATAAGGTTTGTTTTGTTTTGTGTTTAATGGCAGAATGCTTCCAGATAATTTCAGCTAGTGTGAGGGCTGTAACATGGAAGAGGGCTCAGTTTAAATCAGGGCCAGATGGGCTACACTGGACCAGGAATTATTGAAGTAAAGCTCAGATTGTGAAAAGTTGAAAAATGCACACAGTACTCTGAAGCATTATAAATTACTTTTGATTCATTACCAGTGAAAAGTTAGTTTACATATACCAATTAATCAGGTAAGTTACTTTCTCTCTAATTTATATAACTAAAAGCCCTATCATTTTACATACTTCACCATTCCCAAATAACGGTTATGCTTCCAAAGATCAAAAATACCCCCCCCAAAAATCCGTAAATATCACCAAAGTACCATGTTAAATTTTACTGAATGTAGCTTATATACTATTCAAATGCAGTTATAATAAAAGATCAAAGCATTATTACACTCCCTGAGACTTCTGCATTAGGTTCAGACAAAAATTCCCTTCTATATAATATCCCCACTCCAAATTTTGTTAAATTTGAAATTCATAGTAATCTGATACTTTTTAAATGTAGGAACATAAAAAATATAGAAACAGACTTTCATTTTAAAGAACTCTGATTCTCACAAAGTGATTTTTCTCTTTTCAAAGGCTATGAAAATGGAACTCTATCTATACAAAAGATAGGTTTCTTTTTACTGCATCAGAAGCATAATTCCAATTCAACTGAAATTATTTTGAAAAATTTAAACTCTTTTTGGACAATAACTCCAAAATTAAAGATGCTACTGAGTAATGAATGGACAGAAATATTAAATGTCTTTCACAGAACTGGTCCCCTCTTGAGGGTAATTAATCAAACTCAAATTATTAATGTTTTCTCATTTTTTAAATTAATACTTTTAAACTGACTCTTTTAATTCTCTTCTTTCCATCGTAATTCAAGTAAATTCCAAAGTACAGTTAATAAGTAAACAGTCACAGTGTTATTCCATTTAAACATTCCTCTTATTCATTCTTCCAGCAAATAATTACTGAGTACCAACTATATGCCAGGCACTCTGCTTTTCAAGGAGCACAAGGGAGTAAATAACACACCATCTTACAAAATCCCACTGAGAAAGAGAGGCAGGAAATATTTCCATTATTGCCAGTGAAACAAATTCAGAGACTTGAGAGTTTGGGGGAGGGCTCAGAATAGAACTCTGGCTCCAAAATCTATAATATTTATAAATAACAATGTTAATGTACACTAATATAAACTATATGTACTATATGCATATACAGACATAGAGGTAACTTAAAGGGTTTAAAAAATAAAAAAGACTACCTCTGCCAAATGTATTTGGAACATCAAGTGCATAAGGATCTTTCTCTAAAAGTTCATATTTAAACTCTGTTTCAGTTAATCTGCAAATAAAGAACAAACATTTCTAAGTTACTCATTCAAGAGAAGGCACCCACATTTCAAGAAAAATGCCACTACCAAGTACAAGTTACTCTTCACTATCTCATTATCTGCAGAAAAGAAATAGACCCTCTAAAATTATTCTGACCAAAACATCTTTCTTTATCCTCTACTACTTATTTTGGGGTAGCAGGTCTCTTTTTGCCTGCTGATACTGATGTTCTGTTGAGGTTTGGAACTGTTTTCTTTTTCAAAATTAGATGGCAATGAGTACTGTATCAAAGAATCCAAATTTTAGAAATGAAGGGACCTCCAATCAACCAGTTCACTCAAGACTCTCATTTTACAACTGTGGAAACTGAAGCTAGGAGTTTAAATGATTTATTTAAAATGTAAGGACCAGGATTTACACAGGGTTCTTGCTCTGAGTCATATATGCTTTCTACCGTGATGTGACCATTATGATTCCAATCACAATATAAAATTGGAAATCTGATTAACTCATCATACCATTTTTACTCTAAACTTTTCATCTTAAAATGACATTTTAATAGACTCTTATTCCTAGTTCTTGACCATCAGATCTGAAATAAAACATTTAATTATTTAGTTTTAATTTCTGAGAACAGAAAAGACAAGCAAGAAGACTAAAACTAATATTGGATAATGTTAATAGTACATTCTGGCAAGAAATATAATACACCTGATTGTTATCATCCTCACAGAAAAGCATTTATTCTTCCCTTCTACTGTACATTGTATACTTTTTTACTACCTTTCATTTTATTATTGAAAAACAAGGCTACCCAGCACAGTAAAACCACAGGGTGAGACAAATAATAAACATTTATTCTATCCACCAAGAAATGCTGATACTCTAAAAATTACTACATCAGAGTTTCATCCATTATCTTTCCATCCATCTTAATCTCCCTCCACCTACGCTGGCTTAAAAAAATATTTTAAGTTACACTTTTAACAGAAGAATCTATGAACAGTTTCCTTCAAGTGGCATTTTAGTGCCCTCCCTAAGTCAAGTATTTTAAATAAATAAAAAGAAACTAGTCATTCCTAGTATAAAATTAATACCATATTTTTATGAAAATAACACGTGCCTTCTACATTTGCCAACCACCCCCCCACCCCACCCCGTCCCACATGGTATTTTTGTAAGCGCTGCTATGCCGATTTTTTCATTACATGTTGCTGTGTCTTAGTGGGAACACTTTAAAAAACCAGTGCCACTATGCCAAATTTTTTTACATTGCTGTAAAAAAAAAAAGTTGGCATAGCATGCTTATGAAAATACCTCAAAGGAGGTGAGCGCGGTTGGCAAACAAATGCAGAAGGCATGAGTTATTCGCGTAAAAATACGGTAGATATTTCACAATTAGATATACTGTATTCACTGCAAGTTTTCTTACTTGTCTATAATAAAACTACTAAGAATAGCAGTAATAACTAGTATTGACTAGTTTTTTAAAATGTTCCCACTAAGATACTTACTTCTGTCTATTGTGAGCATTTTCCTTCCTTAAATCATTGAGGTTTCTTTCAGCAGTCCGAGCTGCCAACTTAAAGAAAATAAAACAAAAATTACATTTATACAAACTTAAAATGAAAGATAAACATACAAAAATATTACAATGTGGCATAACAAATA